TTTATACTGATTCTGAGATATGGAGTCAAACAAGCAAAATTACATTTTCTAAAATTAATTTCACCTTTCTAAAGGGTTTTAAATATATCTACTAGAAATTTTTGAAGTAACTTCCTGGCTTGCACTGTTAGCTAATAATATTTCAATGTGAAAGTATTTCTGTAGAGTGAAGGAAGCTGAAGAGACATGACAGCTGAAATTGAGACCTGACCTAGACTTGACACTATGCTAGAGGAGTCAAAAATACCATATAGGATTTTGGGGGGGGTCAGTTGCTCAAACTGACACTCAAACAGTAGAATAGATCAAGGGATCATGTCAATATTCGATTTCTGTTGTTGCTGTCTGTACTTGCTTGAGATAATATCCCTGCTGTTGGAGATACATAGTCAGGTATTTGGAGTTGAAGAATCATGAGTACAGCGTTGCCACCGAATGTTTCAGGAAAAGCTATGTTTAACATATTAATGTGATGTGAAAGTTGTTGGAGAAAGCAAGTGATAAAGTGAGCAGAGGTAAAAAAGGGTACCAGGTGAATCTGTGTAAAATGTAGATGTATTCTTGCTACTATTTTTACTTTTTCCAGAGAGAAGAAAAAGTAGGTGCATAGCTGAGCTAGTGTTTTCACTTATTCTCACAAAAGGCATTGTTATTTAGCTCTTGCTTAGGGTGCTGGGAATTGTTCTAGCTTCTTATCCTGTTGCTATGATATATTACCATGACTAAAGCAATTGTTAGGAGAGAAAAGTTCATTCCATCTCACAGTTGTAGGTTACAGTCAATCCTGGTGAGGAAGTCAAGTCTGCAGGAGCACACAGCAGCTTCTGTCAGCAGAAGAAACAGTAACACTCTGTGTCTACAGTCAGCAGAGGGAGCAGGAACACACTGTGTCTACAGTCAGCAGAAGGAGCAGGAACACACTGTGTCTACAGTAAGAAGAAACAGGAACACACACTGTGACTACAGTCATCAGAAGGAACAGGAACACACTGTGTCTACAGTCAGCAGAAGGAACAGGGGCACACACTGTGACTACAGTCAGCAGAAGGAGCAGGAACACACTGTGTCTACAGTCAGCAGAAGGAACAGGAGCACACACTGTGTCTACAGTCAGCAGAAGGAACAGGGGCACACACTGTGTCTACAGTCAGCAGAAGGAGCAGGAACACACTGTGTCTACAGTCAGCAGAAGGAACAGGGGCACACACTGTGACTACAGTCAGCAGAAGGAACAGGGGCACACACTGTGACTACAGTCAGCAGAAGGAACAGGGGCACACACTGTGACTACAGTCAGCAGAAGGAGCAGGAACACACTGTGTCTACAGTCAGCAGAAGGAACAGGAGCACACACTGTGTGTACAGTCATCAGAAGAAACAGGAGCACACACTGTGTCTACAGTCAGCAGAAGAGATCAATACATGCACATGAGTGCTCAGTTGATATTCTCCACTCTTACACAGACCAGGATCCTTAAGGTTAGGAGTAGGGAATGTCTCTACCCACAGTGGGTGGGTCTTCCAACATCAATGAACATAAATAAGAAATCCCCCTCAGCTGGACAGTGGGGGCACATGCCTTTATTCCAGCAATATGAAAGCAGAGGCCAACTTGGTCTACAAAGTGAGTTCTAGGACAGCCAGGACTGTTACACATAGAAACCCTGTCTCGAAAAACAAAACAAACAACACAACAACAAAAGACACTCCCCGCCCCGTCCTAGTTAGGGTTACCATTGCTTGATGAAACACCATGAGAAGAAAAGGGTTTATTTGGCGTACACTTCCACATCACAGTCAATCAATGATGTTAGGACAGAAACTCAAACAGGCCAGGTACCTGAAGGCAGGAGCTGATGCAGAGGCCATGAAGGAGTGTTGCTTACTGGCTTGCTCACCATGGCTTTCTCAACCTGCTTCCTTATAGAACCCAGGACCACCAGGCCAGGATTGCCCTATCCACAATGGGCTGGACCCCCACCCATCAATCAGTAATGAAGAAAATATTCTCCAGGCTTGCCTTACAGCCTGATCTTATGGAGGCATTTTCTCAATTGAGGCTCCCTACTCTCTGCTGACTCTAGTTTGTGTCAAATTGACATAAAACTAGCTAGCACACCACTACGGACATGTCCAGTGTCCCAACTCACAGGAAATTCTACATTTTGTGTTTGGGTTGGTTTTGTTGTTTGGTTTTACACTTATTTATTGAGTGTAGAGGTCAGAGGATAATTGGTAGCAATCAATTCTCTCTCTCTTTCTCTCTCTCTCCCTCCTTCCCTCTCTCTCTCTTTCTGGGAATTGAACTCACCAGGCTTGATGGCAAGGTCTTCATCTGCTGAGCCATCTTCCCAGCCCTAGATTTTGTTGACAATTAACAATGCCCATCACAGGAGTCAATCTAGAGTAATCTTTTTCCTCTATTCAGCCTTCCATCCAATCATGGCTCTTTCTACAACCTTCCTCCTTGTGTCTCTCAGATCCGCCTCTTCCATATCTCCACTTCCAATGGTGTGAACAAACTCTCATCTACCTAGTCAGTTAAACTCACTTTCCAGCTCAATACCCTCCTTCAGCTACCTCATCTCGGAGTCAGAACTGATTTGTTAAATCTCCAAACTAAACAAAGTTAGTCTGCTGAAAACCACTGGGAACTTCTCATCATGTGCTTGCTAGACAACAACACTAAGCCAGACAGGATCCCATGAAGGCTTGACTGCTTTCTTTCTCTTGATTTCTACTTTGTCTGACTCTCATATGCATGTCAGGGCGGGGGGAGGTAGGGGGAGGTAAAGATAGAGGGAGAGAGAGACCCAATGTGTGTGTATGAATTCGGGTGCACATGAGCCACAGTGCATATGTGGAGATCGGAAGACAACCCCTAGTACCTGTCTTCCCTTTGCACCTTGTTTGAGGCAGGGTCTCTCATTGACTACTGTGTATGCCAGGCAAGCTTCTGGAATTCTCTTGTCTCTATCTCCCATCTCACCTTAGGTGTGCTGAGATGATAGTGTACCAACACACTAGGTTTTACACAGAGCCTGAGGATCTGAACTCTGGTCCTCACACTTGCACAGCAAGCACTTTCTCTACTGGGCCAGCTCCCCAACCCCTGGCCTTTTGATCCCCCATCTCAGCTTTCCATGTAGCTGGGATTAAGCACTTGGCTTCATACACACAACTGTTGCTACAAACCACCCCAAACAGCCTGTCATTCTGCAACATCCAGAGTTCTTACACATCACCACCTTTGCTATAGTGACCCTGTGACCTGGAATGCCCACCCTGCTCTGTCCAGGAAGTGCCGCTCATCTGCAAGAATCACTTCTCTTAAATGAGCAGGAACAGTAGAAAATGACATAACCAAGGACTTAAAATTGGTCTCTTTATGTGCTTCCTTGATGACAGTTCATGCTTTGATGGGCTTTGTTTGGCTTTTCTTTTCTTCACTAGGTTGCTCAGGCTGTCCTCCAGCTCCTGAGCTGAAGTACAATCCCCTGGAGTCACCGAGCTCTGTCACTGCCACACCAGATTCAACCGAACGATTTTTTTTATAACAATATGTCCTATGCTTTTTTAGAATAAAAATTAAACAATAAACCCTATCCAAAGCTGAGAAATGGGGTCTTTGAACAACTTCCAAGGATACTTGATTTGATGGGGAAAGTGGGTGACACTGCAGAAAAGGAACCTGAAAGATCTCACTTTGGCCAAGTGGGGTCACCTGGAAAATGACAGCCTGTAATCCCTGCCTGTAGTACGGTGGGAATAAGACATTTCTGCTGTGGCACTCTGGACCAAAATGTATTTCCTAAGTGTAATCACAAGGAAACACCAGACAAATGGAGGGGAAGAGCCTTCTACAGAGTGACCAGGAGACATGCTGGAAATGTAAAGATCCCGGAAGCTAAGAGACAGAGGAAGAACACCGGATGAAAGTGGTGTGGGGCAGGGGCAGGGGCAGGGGCAGGGGCAGGGGCAGGGGCATGCTACTCTGTGACAGCCGGCGTGCTATCGTCCTCTGTCACTAGTGCAAACAGCTGGGAAAGTCTGGTTAAAGTTGGAGGTGCTGTATCAATGTGAATTTTACAGTTTCGACCATTGTATGGGGGCTGTTCATTTCTGAGAAAGCTGGATGAAGACGGTGGGGAGCACTATGCTGTATTTGAAACTTCTATATGAGAGTATCTCAAAATTAAGTTAGAAAATAAAATCTGCTCTGATATGTCAGAGAGAGAGAGAGAGATAGAGAGAGAGATGAATTCAAATATCACTTGAGATAAAAGGAGACTATCTTCTACTGGTAATTTTTTATACCATTTATAGCACTTTATATGCTTCCTGATATACTTGTCCTGATATACTGAATACAAGTGTGTGTATGTGCATGTGGTGTGTATGTATTTGTGTGTGTGTGTGTGTGTGTGTGTGTGCTCATCTATGTGCTGGAGCATGTTCATGAAAGTGTGACATCAACTTCAGGGTTACTTCTCAGGACATCTACCGATCTACCCTGTTTGCAGACATAGGATCTCTCACTGGGACCTGGGGCTTGCCTACTTGGCTAGACTGGCTCAGCAATGAGTCCTGCTACAGCACTGGGATCACAAGCATATCAGCATGTCTGGCTTCTTACATGTGTGCTGGGGATCGAACTCAGGTCTTCACACTTTACCATCTTCCCAGCCCCAGCTCACTGGTGCAAGTTTTTGTGTGAACAGAAGTTTTCAACTCCGTTGGGTAATACCAAGAACTATGATTGAAAACTGGATTGCAGGGCAATAGCATACATATTATCATTATCATTTATCATCAGGCTGGCCTAGAATTCTCTATATAGACCAGGCTGGCCTCAAACTCAAAGGGATCTGATTGCCCCTGCCTCTTGAGTGCTGGGATTAAAGGAGTAGCTTGCATGTCACAGTATGCTTGTAACACAATGCCAAACTATCTCTCAAAGTAGCTATGTTGGTGCTATCTGCATTTATTTTATGCTGAATTTATTCCTGTGCTATAAGTTTTTGTTTCTTCTGTTTCTTCTGTTTCTTCTGGGATATCTTTCTCTTCTGTGCAACCTCTTCCTCTGGCTTCGGAACAATCTGCTCCTTTTCCATGAGGATCATCTCGTTGTGGCAGGGGGAGCTCATGCATGGGTTAATCCGGCCATGAGCTCTGTAGGTTCGATGGTGCAACTTAGGTGCTTTGTTCACCTGGATGTGTTCAATGACCAGAGAATCTTCGTCTAGACCCTTAAGCCCAGCATTACTCTCTGCATTTTTAAGCATGTGCAGCAAAAATTCAGCACTCTTTTTTGGCCACCGACCCTGTGTCCAGCCCCACTGTTTGGCCTGGGTGCACCTGCCTACTCCACCATTGTACCCCCCGAATGGCATACATTGCTTCTTCAAAGTGACATCTTTCAGGTATTTGGTGGCTTTTCGGATATGGATGCCCTTGATGGCCTGGGCAGTTTCACAGGCGTCCTTAAAGTGAACCCGAAGATTCGATCCTTTTGACTTACATGATTTCGTAGGGTTCTCTGGGTCGAGAGAGAGCGAACCAGCTTCACAGCTCACCTCAGGTCGCTTACAGGAAGAGGAACGGAACGTTAGCTTGGCTTTTTAATGGATGTGTATGCGTTGGTATCTCACCCTTATTTGAATTAGTGCTTCCCTAGTGTCTTGCTGTAGAATATCTTTAACTCGCTGTGAGGAGATCATTGGCCAAGTGAATGCCAAGGCCTTCCATCCTTGAAATGCAGTTGTTTTATCTTATTTAATTAACGTGTTATTTTATTTCTGGACAATTTCATACACATATACTTCCTTTTTTATTTTTACAATAACCTTTTGAAGTTGCTCTGAAGTAAAAATATCATCCTAATTTTATTCCTAGGTTGGAGGGGCCAGCAGTGCCCAGGGATTACTAATCTGAAGTCACACATGTAAGTATACCCAAGTGGCCAATAGCTCTTGCTTCCTGTTTCCTGCTTCTGGGCACTTTCAGTGGATCACCAGGTGGCCTGTCCCCCAAGCCTCCCACTCTAGTTTTGCCGAACACATCTGAGGACATGATACCAGTTTCTGATAATCCCAGCCAGGCTTCCTGGAATCTAGGTGGGGAGCAGAGGACACCTCAGAATAGCCCAGGGGCCTGGCTGGAGAGACTCCACCCACAGGAAATCCCCTGGTCTGTGGCCCCTTGAGTGACAGTTTTGAAGGCTGCCCAGACAGGCAGACCTGTAGTAGGACCTGCTAAGGACTTTTCTGGACCTTTCTCTTAGGTTGGCAGTGAGCTGGCAAGGAGTGGAAGTGGGCTGTAAAATCCCTTGATGGCCACGGCTTTTGCTTCCGGGGAATTCCGTTCTCACCTTGTGGGCCCTGACAGCCATCAAAATGTGCTTTAATTCTTTAAAACTGAGAAGTTCCTCAAAACTGTCAGAGTGATGAGTGTCCCGTTTCCCTATGACTTCATTTTCCCCTGCACTGCCCTCCTCAGCCCACCCCCTGAAAGCCATGAGGGTCGCCGTTAAAGGGCTGTTGGTTTCAATTTCTGGAGGGTGAACGCCGACTTCTCTTTTCATTGTTTTAGTTAATTGCTAAGCATCTGAACGTCGCAATAATAGGTCTTCCTGTAAAGCTGATGGAATAATCAAAGCCCCGTGGTACTCATAGAACCATCCTGGATCACCCAGCATTGCACTATCTACCCTTTATTCCTTCACCTCCTCCCCTAACCTACAACATATGGTTCAAGGTTTCACCTGATGGGAGAATGAGTCCCGAACCCCCCCCCCACACACACACACATACACACGAAGGAAGTGTGCTCTGGGGGCGTCAAAGAACCCTGCTCCCAATTTTCAGAGTGTGGCCTAGAGCAAGGGAATGCCTTTAAGTGGGACTCTAGCTGAGCAAAGGAGTCAAGTCAGAGTGGCCACAGCAGGAGACTTAAGGATCGCAGTGTTGGGGTTACCTCTCCTCCCCCACCTAGAGAGAACCGGTTGCCAGGTTCCCTTGAATTTGCCCGGTATATGGAATAGATGAACCTCAGAGAACAAAGAGGTTGTTTTGAAGGTTATTTCCCCTCCCCCACTCGGTGAATAATATCATACTGATGCATCGGTCTGCAACTGGCTGGCATTCGCTAGGACTGGGGTGGGGGTTTTTCCACACAGTTCTGTGTTTTTTAACTGCCAGCTGGTACCCAGTAGGTATGACTATACTACAGCTTCGCTAAAGACAAACAGCACTGCTTTAGAACGGGGTTTACACCTATCATCTACATGTACATTCCTAAAACAAAAACAAAACAAAACAAAAAACCCGATGCTAGGTACTGTAAAATTGCCCACTAAAACCAACAACATAAAAATCATAGAATTGGGCAGGCCTGTAAACCCACATGGCTTGATTATAGAGCTAACAGGACTGGTAACGGATGTTTCAGGCAAGCAGCTCTAGATTGGGAGGCTGCCTCCGGGGACATTAAAATCCATATAGATTGGTGACATGGGCACTTTCAGCAGGCGTGGAGCTCCACAGGTGGCAGGACCATGAGCCAGGTGGGCGCAGGAGTAAGTGCAGGCTGCTTCCTAGGATGGGTCTCCCCGGGGAGGGTAGCCCAGGTGCAAGGCTGCTTTTGAGAGTGCCTTAAAATAGAGGGGAAGGGTTCTTCCTGCTCAGGGAGTCAAACTGATGGCTTTTCCTTCTCTGCTGCTCCATCATCCCCTCCCCCACCGCCGCCCCATGCCCACCTCACTGTGTAAGCAGGCAGTCTCCTTCACTGCCAAAGTGGAGGAGCTCTTTGTCCAGAAATATGTGATGCAAGGGACAAGAGCATGGGAAAGGGGGAAGTGGAGAGGAAAGAAAGGGAGAGAAACAAACAAGTGAGTAAATATATAAATACATGTTTTGGGTGGAGTTTCCTGATCTACCATTTGCCCAAGTCTGGAAACTGCTAAACTCCAGGCTGCTCAGATCTTCAAGTAAAAGATGCTCTGAGCCACAAGGAAATGCGATGCCTCATCTGTGCTCGGACTCTGGGCTCCCCCGTGGGTTCTGCAGGGGAAGGTTAGCATCCTACCTTGTCCGAGCTGAAATTCATATCAGGTGTTTCCCCCCCCCCCCACCCCAACCCCCGTATCGACTTCCCTCCCTGTAAGGAAGACAGGCTATTTTAAATCTTGTTTGAATTTTGTGCTGTGGAAATTCCCCTCCCTGTAACTTCTCACTTTGCACAATTTGAGGGGGTGCGTTTGGAGGATTGAGACCAGAGCATAGAGTGGACTCTGGGATCTTTGGTTGCCCAGCCCATTCCTTGGGCTTCTCTTCAAGTCTCCTTGAGAAGACTCTCCAACTGCTTTAGCTATAGGAGGGTGAGGCTGGGGGAGAAGGCAGTGGCCCTGGTGTTGCTGCAGAGTTCAGGGCACCCTGTAACTTAGAATCCACAAGCACCATTTTCTTCATTCAGCCCCTTCTACTTCTGGCCTCTGGAGGTGGCTCAGGGAGTTTGCATGTTTCCCTCTGGGGATCAAGCCTAGGACTCTGAGCATGCAGGGCAAATCTGTGTGGAGCTGTATGAGCAGCCCCTAAAGTTGGCTCAGAGGTGTTCGGTGTCTTCCTGCTGGGCTGCAGGGCAAGGATCAATATTACTAAGTTCAAGAGAGACTTGAGTCCAGATCTTCTGCTGTAGGATAAGTCGAGAGAGGTTAGCTAGCGTTTCCACCTCAGAGTGTCTTCTGCATCTTGCATACTCAGATGGAGTTGGGTAAATTAAGGCTCAGCGTTAATAACCCTCCAGGCAAGTTGCCAAATACAAGTCCTTCAAATGCCAGGGAGGTTTGGACAAACTGTCCCATTCTACGGTCTAGGAAACAGGCTCAGAGAATTTGGGGAAACTGCTCAGTCTCACAGCGAGTAGGAGCTCACAGCAGGATTTGAACCTACGCCCATCTCCTTGGAAGTATCACATGTTTTACATGGCACAAAGTATGGAATTAAAAGTAGATTGTGAAGTTGTCCACTGATCCCTCCTCTCAGGTTTTATAAATGAAGTCACAGTATGTGGTTAGTTGAGTGAAACCAGTCCCTTTTTTGTCTGACCAAGACATCATGATTCTGTCTATGAAAACCTGGGGACTGCCAGCAAAATTCCCCTTGAAAGCAGATGCAGAGAGTCCCTGGACTGGTGGAAGGCAAAAGCAACAGCTAGTTCCCAGAACTGAATATAGGAACATGTGGCTTTTGATGGTCTTGGGATTTTCACAGCAGCCAATGGTCGTATCCAGTTGTCAAGATTTTTGGCATCCTTGTCCCAGAAACCTGGTATAGAATAATAGATGTCCAACCAAGAGGCCTAGTTACATTGGGACAGCTTGGCCAAAGACTGTCCCAGAGGACGTGGTCTTCCATGTCATAGTAATATGATGACCTTGCTGGATTCCTTTTCCTTGAGAAGTGTGACTATGAGATGGGCCATGAGGAGTCTTCAACATTGGGCTCTATGTCCTGAGTTACTACTGAACTACACAGGGCCACAGAATCTCTCAGCATAATTGCTGATTTCCTATAGGAAGCTCTTGTAAATCCTGTTGTGACCTAGGCTTCTGGGAAACACTCTTTGCTTTCATGTTTCCAAACTCTGAGGGACAGCAGGGGATGTTCACACATTGACATGGGGCTCCTGCCAACTCTGCCATATGCATTTTGCTTCCTGTCTTCTATCACCCTTCACTAAAGCAAAAGAGAAGGAACTATGGGTGTCTGCAAGGGGGAGATATGATTAATATAGAATAAAAGATGATGAAGGCAGAGAGAGGGAAGGCAAAATGGCAGGATTTGGTGAGCTCATTGGATTGAGGATATATAGAGGAAGACCAGAAAGATATCAGGTGGAGTTTGATTGATCACAGGAAATGGAGACTATGCTGCAGGTAAAATTACCATTAGCAACAAAATCTACTATACAACCAACCATGGGAATAGACAGCTGGCAAGGCCAGAGGACAGGGTCATTGGAAGGAGTTGTTCAAGCTGCCATGCTTATTGCGTTTAAAAACCTTTAAGAATAAAGATATATGGTAAGGACCAGAGACCACAAATGAGCAAGGAACTAAGATCATCGAGAAATAACAGAGTATGAATCAGCCAGACAAGAAGGTAGAAAGAAAGATGTGGGTACCTGCCGGCAAGAACAGAGCTCTTTCTTGAGTTGAGCATAGATGGAAAAGAAAGCCTTGCACCTCCCTGCTGTGAGTTGTTCACCTAATACCTGACAAAAACCAACACGAAGGAGGAAGGGTTTCTTTTGGCTCACCGTTCAACATAACATACTCCCTCCTGGTGGGGAAAGCGTGCTGGTGGGATTGGCTTGGTCCACAGCTTCAACCAGGAAGCAGAGAAAGGGGAGCATCAATGTTCAGCGGGCTTTCTCTTTGCTTCCTTTATTACTAATGGCAATCGTGCTGATCCCCAGCCCACTAGATGATGCTGCCCACATTCGGTTAGGGAGGTCTCATTCCCTGTTTGTGACTCTCCAGTCTCCCCAGTTTGTTACTGCTTCCTTCACTCAGTGTGTTTTTGACACCTTTGACAAAGACTAGTGCTGCTGGCTTATTTCTGGGTCCTACACACCACTCCACAGGGATACATGCCGGTCTCTGTTCCAGTGTTTGGTTACAACAGATGGCACTGTTCTTTCTTTGGGAGTCTTCTTTGTTTATGGGGAGTCTTTGATGTTTCTATGTGGACTTTAGGATTATTTTCACTGGTCCTGTAAATAATGTCATTGGAACTCTGATGGGCATTGTTTTGGATCTGCAGAATGCTTTTGGTAACACAGCCATTTCAATCGTCTTAATGCTATCGACGAATGAGTGTAAGAGACCTTTCCACCTCCTATTGTTTTCTTCAATATCTTCTTTTAATGTTTAAAAGTTTTAAGTATGGGGATCTTTGACTGCCTTTGTTAAGCTTGTTCCCAGATACTTTTTATCAGGTTCTTTTGAAGGGTTAGGAGATGTCTAAATGTCAACTGGCTGCTCTTCCAAGTGGGCGGTGTTTGATTGCTGGCACCCTTGGTGGCGTACAACCACCTGTAAATCTAACATCAGAGGACCAGTCGCCCTCTTCTGGCCTCCTTGGGCACTGCATGAATGTCATGCACAGACATACATGTAGGCAAAACAGCCATACGCATAGAAAATGGAATTTTTCTTTCCCCCTTTTTCTTTATTTCTTTTCTTCTTGTTTTAATTTTGAGACAAAGTTTCACTGTGTAGACCAGGCAGACCTCAAGCTCACAGAGATCCACCTGCCTCCACTTTCCCTACTGCTGGGATTAAAGGTGTGCACCACCACACCTGGCCACATCGGATTTTTTTGTTGTTGTTGTTGACATTTATCTCTCATGTATGGTGCTGTGGATGGAACTCAGGGCCTCAAGCCTACCAGGCAAGTATGAAGTATGCTCTCACTGAGCCATCTCCTCAGCCTTCTCTCTCTCTCTCTCTCTCTC